TGGTTTGGTTTTGGCCTGTTTTGGGTGCTTTTTTGGACTCTGACTCTGTATCCTACAGAAGAAGCAGGACAAGGTGGTTTTGGGGTGGTTTGGGGAGTTTTGGATGTTTTGGCATTCTTTTGCCCTGTTTTCCAGCTCTGACCCTGTATCTCATAGGAGAAGCAGGACAAGGTGGTTTTAGGGTGGTTTTGGGTTGTTTTGGGGCTGTTTTGGGTGTTTCGAGTTGGTTTTTCATTGGTTTTGGCCTGTTTTGGGGCTTTTTTGGGGTCTGACCCTGTGTCCCTTAGGAGAAGCAGGGCAAGGTGGTTTTTGGGTGGTTTGGGGGTGTTTTGGGAGTGGTTTTGGGTGTTTTGGGGTGTTTTTCTTCTGTTCTGGGTCTCTTTTGGGTCTCCTACCCTGTATCCCATAGGAGAAGTAGGACAAGGTGGTTTTGGGTGTGGTTTTGGGGATTTTTTGCATTGTTTTTGCCCTGGTTTTGTCCTGTTTTGGGGCTCTGACCCCATATCCCATAGGAGAAGCAGGGCAAGGTGGTTTTGGGGTGGTTTTAGGGTGGTTTTGGTTTTTTTATGTCCTGTTTTGGGATTCGGACCTTGTGTCGCATAGGAGAAGCAGGACAAGGTGGGTTTGGTGTGGTTTGGGGTGTTTTTGTTCTGTTTTCGGGCTATTTTGGGGCTCTGACTCTGTATTGCATAGGAGAAGCAGGACAAGGTGGTTTTGGGGGTGGATTTGGGGGTGGTTTTGGGGGTGGATTTGGGGTACTTGTGGCCTCTTTTGGGGTTAGTTTGGGGCTCTGACCCTGTATCCCATAGGAGAAGCAGGACAGGGTGCTTTTGGGGTCGTTCTGTGGTGGTTTTGGGGTGGTTTTGTCCTGTTTTTGGGCTGTTTGGGCTCCGCTGTTGGCAGTGGGGACACATGCCATGCCAGACCTTGATGTGAAGGATGGCCTCCCCTGTTACCAGAGAGTCATACAGCAGAAAAAAGGGGCAGGCCCAGCAGCCTGTAGTTGTCATATATTGGAGATATGATCTAGGCCAAATCCCCTGCTCAAGTAGGGTCACCCAAAACATATATAAAACAAAAAGGGGGAGATGTGGAGGCAGTGTTCTCACAGGAGAGTGGATAATTGGTACATAAATTCTGAATAATCCTGAAAGATGCAGCAAGGCCATGAGAGGCCCGAGGAAGCCTGAACAAGCAAGATAAGAAGCAGCTGGAATTCACTGAGGTAATGAGAACTGTGCACTGTTGGCAAGCTTTGGAGGTCAAGTTCTCACACCTGTGCTTAACCAATTATATGTTAGTTGCAAAGGGTCTTCAAGACATGTATCCAATCATAATATGCCAAATCATTGTAAGTGCATGTAAGAAATACTATAAAAGGAGTTACGGCTTTGTAAAAAATGGCTTTTGTCTGATCATATTGATCTCTGACTGAGTCCATGTGTTTTCTGCGGCACGGAGTTATGGGGGGGGGGGGGGGGCTGGGACCTGTCCCTGCCAGGCAGGAGGCAGCAGGCGGGCACTAGGACCCTGATGCGTGAGGCAGCGGGCGGGCACTAGGACCCTGATTCCGGCGCTATAGGGGGCGGGCCCTGGGACCGGTTCCTGACAGGGAGGAGGCAGCGGGCGGGCACTAGGACCCTGATACCGGAGCTATATAGTGCTGAGGGTGCTGGGGGGTTCTGTGGGTGCTGGGGTTTCTCTAGGTGCTAGGATGACTGGGTGCACTGGAGCTGTTGTGGTTGCTGGCAGTGGTGGGGGGTGGTATGGGTGCAATGCATGCTATGGGTACTGTGGGCTCTATGGGTGCTGTGGGTGCTGTAGTTGCTATGGGTGCTGGGGGTGCAGTGGGTGCTGTGAGCCCTGGCCCCAGTCCCTGCTCCAGGCACTGGGGACCCCAGTGCTGGCATCTGGGAGAGGTCCAAAGAGTGCTGGGATGGGTGTTGGGAGCTGGGATGGATACAACCTTGAAGCTTGTGAGGTCCTAAGGGAAGATCCCAAGCCTGGAAGCAGGATGCTCCAGCTGGATGCAGGGATGAAGTGGGATGCTCCAGCTGGATGCAGGGATGAAGCAGAACCATGGAAGTTTGGGTTCTCCTTCATCATTTGGGTGTGGAGAGGAGCCTTCAGCATGGATTGGAGCCACAGGACAAGGGGTGATGGGTTCCAACTGGAACAGCGAAGTTCAGGTTGGAGATAAGGAAGTGAGGGTGCTGGGACACTGGGATGGGTTGGATGGAGAAGAATGGATGGGCTTGGAGCAACCTGGTCTAATGGAAGCTGTCCCCCCTGCCTCTTCATGCCATGCTTTAATGGTGGGGCAATGATTGGACTTGATGCTCCTGAAAGTCTTTCACAAACTGGTTGATTCCCTGATTCCCAGCTCCCGCTTCCCACTGTTCCCTGCCCTCCATCCCTCATCCCCATCCCTGCGCACGGACCAGAAGAAGAGGTGGGCACGCAAAGCATCCTCTCTATGGGAAAATAAGGCAACTGTATTGAAGCTGAAGCCAACTTCAAGCGACGCCGCTCCTCAAGGCTTCTTCCCCCTTAGAGCCTGCAGCAACTCCTGCACCCGACTGACAAATTCCACGAGCACCCGGTATGGGAAGGAGCAGATGTCACTGGCGCTCGAGGCCGTCGGAGCCGGCATCGTCTGCTGGATGGGCGCATGCGAGACGTGCTGGTGGCTCCATGTCGGGGGCGTCGCGGAGGCTCCCGCGGAGTGGAACGTCCCCAGCTGGTGGAGGATCCACTCATGGAAGTGCCTTGTTGAGGTGTAGACCCCCGGTTGCTTGGCCCTGGCGCAGCCGCGGCCCCAGCTCGTCAGCCCCACAACCCAGAAAAAGTTGGCATTGTTGTCCCGGCACATGAGGGGACCGCCACTGTCACCCTATGGAGGAGAAACAGAGAGGGGATGAGGATGGGGATGGGTGGCCATGGCAATGCCTGAGGGGACCACTGCTGTCACCCTGTGGAGGAGAACGGGAGAGGATGGGGAGGGGTGGCCATGGCAACGCAGAGGGGACCACTGGTGCCACCCTGTGGAGGAGAACTGGGAGGCACATCCCTACCTGGCAGGTGTCGATGCCACCCTGCGGGTACCCAGCACACAGGTTGTGGCTCTTGATGGCCCCTCGGTACCATAGGCTGCTGTTGCAGAGCTTGGCATCGATGAGGCGGACCTTGGCCTCCTGCAGGGCAGATGGGGACGATGCCCCCGCTGTGGGGACACAAAGGGGGTCAGGACTGCGGGGAGAAGGGACGGATATGGGGGTATTTGGGGCTGAAAAGATCAATGGGAGCCATCAACACTGCCCCATGGCACGGGCTGCATCCCCTTTGTTCTGCATCCTCAACATAAGGAGGACATGGAGGGACCTTCAGCGATGGGACAAGGGGTGATGGGTTCCAACTGGACCAGGGATGCTCAAGTTGGAGAGAAGGAAGTGGTGGGAGACTGGGATGGGTTGCATGGAGAAGGTCAGGATGCTCCATGTCGGAGCAACATCCAATAGACTCCCCAGCTCCTTCCATCCCATTCCATGAATCCCCAGACCCGGCATCCCATCAGTAACGGGTGGCACGGGGTCGGGCTTTGCTCCCTTCCTTGCGCCCCTGACGTTTAGCACTCGGAGTGGGGCCCTGAGCGCGCATCGGGCAGGCCTCCTCGGGTACCCGAAATCTTTGCACCGGCTGGTCCAGCTCCACCAAGGCAATGTCGAAGAATGCCGGAGTTGGTGTAATATTCGATGACTGTACCTGCTGTGGTAACGTTTCTGGCCCAGAATTGCACTGCACTCCAGGTCCGTGTGCCATCCGACCACCAGAGGAATCCGTGCCGTTTGAACAAGCACGGGAGGGAGCGGAAGAGCAGGGATTGGAGCCATAGGACAAGGGGTCATTCCTGAAGCAGAAATTGCAGGTTGGAGATAAGGAAATTCCAAGGGCGCATTTCTTTGGAGAAGGTTCATGCTTCCCTGGTATAGCTGGCCTGGAGCAAGCTGCTCTATGGTGCCCAAAAGCCTGGATGATCCCAAGCTCCTTTCCCACCCAACCCATTCCATGATCCATTCCATTCCCTCCCATTCTATGCCATGAAGGCATTCCAGCTGCTAGGCCCAAAGGAAAGCACTGCTGCAGCTGTCAAGTAGATCTCCCTGCATCCTGCCCATGGGGAAGGGGAACCCGTTCCATGAGCTGCTGCTTGGAACATTCCCGTTTAATTGGCTGGAATCCCTGCTGCTCCCCCATTTATGGAGCATTGAGCCAGGGTCCATTGCATGATATGCTGCAGATGTGCGAGAAGAACTGGCACTGGATGCTGACCATCCATGTAATTTGGGCCATGGTGCATTCTGCCTCCATGGCGACACCCATAGGAATCAGCCATCCAATTCAACTGGATGGTTAATGAAGGGCGGGCGGAGCCCCCACATTGCTGCATCTTGCCCAAAGGAAACATCATAGGTCCTGGCAATCATCCCACCCCATAGGGTGCTGTCTAAAAAAAATCCATCTTGCCTGCCTTGCTTGCTACAGTCCTCCCAAAAATTGATGGTTCTCCAGAGTGCAGTCCCAGTTCAATGGTGGCAATGGCAAAATGGCTTTCAAGGACTGGACTCATTTTCCTCCCTGTCTCAGGGCTGCCTTCTCCTGGAGAGCGTTCCTCCAAATGTCATCACAGGTATTGCCCAATAAGTGAGTTCCAACCATCCATGGCAGATTGCACCCCTAGGGCTGGGCCCCGCTTCCTCGCCATCACCCCATGCGGTGGCACAGCGCAGCTATGGGGCACCCCATAGGGTCCCTTGTCCCTGCAGCACCCTATGGGGTGGGATGATGCTCACCTATGGGACACCCCATAGGGTCCCTTGTCCCTGCATCACCCAGTGGGGCGGGATGATGCCCGCCCTTCATCCCTAACCATCCAGTGTTGGGCTTCTGCTTCCAGAGGGACCTGCGGTACCCGTCCCATGGCTGATTCCTATGGGGTGTCGCGCATCGTCGGAGGCGTGGATGCGCACCAGGGCGCCTGGCCATGGATGGTCAGCATCCAGTTCCCCACGGCCACCGGCTTCTCGCACATCTGCGGGGGGTCCCTCATCACCCCGCAATGGGTCCTCACGGCCGCTCACTGCTTCGTCGGGCAAAAGTAAGGGGGAGAAGGGATTCCAGCCATAGGGAATAGCCAAGGAGCAGCTCCCATCCCGTCCCCTTCCCCATCCTGGATGCACTGGGAAGAGCGCTCAGGAGAAGGCTGCTTCCAGCTTGACAGCCCTTGAGCCTAAGGCGTGCTGGGGCAGTGCTTTCCTTTGGGCAGCAGCAGGAATGTGGCTCCTTCCCACCCCTCCATAGAATGGGATGGGATGGGATGGAATGGAATGGATCGTGGAATGGGTTGGATGGGAAAGGAGCTTGGGATCATCACCCCTTGTCCTATGGCTCCAATCCCTGCTCTTCCACTCCCTCCTCATAGGGAATCCCTTCCTTATCTCCAACCTGCAATTCCCAGTCAGAACCCATCACCCCTTGTCCTATGGCTCCAATCCCTGCTCTTCCACTCCCTCCCAGCTTCACCACGGATTGGTTCGTGATGGTCGGAATCACGGACCTGGCTTGGGCCAATTCCGAGACCCAGAAACGTTGGATCCAGAGGGTCGTGGTCCATGAATATTACACCAACATCTCCGGCGGCTTCGACATTGCCTTGGTGGAGCTGGACCAGCCGGTGCAGTGCGGGTACCACGTGCAGCTCGCCTGCCTGCCCGATGCGACGCTCAGGGTATCCCAGCTCTCCGAGTGCTTCATCAGCGGATGGGGCGCGAGGGAGGCCAGAAGTGAGTGCCCGACGGCCCCGTTGGCCTTGGGATGCCGGGTCCTGGATTCATGGAATGGGATGGAAGGGAGGGTAAAGCTCATCCAGGTCTATTGGATGTTGCTCCGACTGGGGATGGAGCATCCTGACCTTCTCCATGCAACCCATCCCAGTCTCCCACCACTTCCTTCTCTCCAACTTGAGCATCCCTGGTTCAGTTGGAACCCATCACCCCTTGTCCCATCGCTGAAGGTCCCTCCATGTCCTCCTTATGTTGAGGATGCAGAACAAAGGGGATGCAGCCCGTGCCATGGGGCGGTGTTGATGGCTCCCATTGATCTTTTCAGCCCCAAATACCCCCATATCCGTCCCTTCTCCCCGCAGTCCTGACCCCCTTTGTGTCCCCACAGCGGGGGCATCGTCCCCATCTGCCCTGCAGGAGGCCAAGGTCCGCCTCATCGATGCCAAGCTCTGCAACAGCAGCCTATGGTACCGAGGGGCCATCAAGAGCCACAACCTGTGTGCTGGGTACCCGCAGGGTGGCATCGACACCTGCCAGGTAGGGATGTGCCCCTGGGGCTCCCTTCTCCTCTCCCATCTGCAGGGCCTTGCTCTGCATCCCCCTTTATCCCAGCTTTGGAAGCGCATCCAGCTCCTGCTCCATCATCCCTGCGCAGGGACCATAGAGGTTGGAGCTTTAAGAGCATTGAGATTCCACCACTAAACCATGTCATGAGCATGGATTCATGGAATGGGTTAGGTTGGGAAGGAGCTTAAAGCATCCAGTTCTAAGCAAGGGGCAAGGATGCCTTCCATTAGACCAGGTTGCTCCAAGCCTTCTCCATCCAACCCATCCCAGTGTCCCACCACCCTCATAGGGAACAATTTCTCCTTATCTCCAACCCATAGTCCCTCGTTCCAGTGGGAACCCATCACCCCTCGTCCTATGGCTCCAATCCATGCTGAAGGTCCCTCTCCACACCCAAATGATGAAGGAGAACCCTTCCATCCACATAGGGTAACAGTGGTGGTCCCCTCCGGCATTGTCATGGCGACCCATCCCCATCCTCATCCTCTCCCGTTCTCCTCCACAGGGTGACACCAGTGGTCCCCTCTGCGTTGCCATGGCCACCCCTCCCCATCCTCTCCCGTTCTCCTCCACAGGGTGACAGCAGTGGTCCCCTCAGGCGTTGCCATGGCCACCCATCCCCATCCTCATCCCCTCTCTGTTTCTCCTCCATAGGGTGACAGTGGCGGTCCCCTCATGTGCCGGGACAACAATGCCAACTTTTTCTGGGTTGTGGGGCTGACGAGCTGGGGCCGCGGCTGCGCCAGGGCCAAGCAACCGGGGGTCTACACCTCAACAAGGCACTTCCATGAGTGGATCCTCCACCAGCTGGGGACGTTCCACTCCGCGGGAGCCTCCGCGACGCCCCCGACATGGAGCCACCAGCACGTCTCGCATGCGCCCATCCAGCAGACGATGCCGGCTCCGACGGCCTCGAGCACCAGTGACATCTGCTCCTTCCCATACCGGGTGCTCGTGGAATTTGTCAGTCGGGTGCAGGAGTTGCTGCAGGCTCTAAGGGGGAAGAAGCCTTGAGGAGCGGCGTCGCTTGAAGTTGGCTTCAGCTTCAATACAGTTGCCTTATTTTCCCATAGAGAGGATGCTTTGCGTGCCCACCTCTTCTTCTGGTCCGTGCGCAGGGATGGGGATGAGGGATGGAGGGCAGGGAACAGTGGGAAGCGGGAGCTGGGAATCAGGGAATCAACCAGTTTGTGAAAGACTTTCAGGAGCATCAAGTCCAATCATTGCCCCACCATTAAAGCATGGCATGAAGAGGCAGGGGGGACAGCTTCCATTAGACCAGGTTGCTCCAAGCCCATCCATTCTTCTCCATCCAACCCATCCCAGTGTCCCAGCACCCTCACTTCCTTATCTCCAACCTGAACTTCGCTGTTCCAGTTGGAACCCATCACCCCTTGTCCTGTGGCTCCAATCCATGCTGAAGGCTCCTCTCCACACCCAAATGATGAAGGAGAACCCAAACTTCCATGGTTCTGCTTCATCCCTGCATCCAGCTGGAGCATCCCACTTCATCCCTGCATCCAGCTGGAGCATCCTGCTTCCAGGCTTGGGATCTTCCCTTAGGACCTCACAAGCTTCAAGGTTGTATCCATCCCAGCTCCCAACACCCATCCCAGCACTCTTTGGACCTCTCCCAGATGCCAGCACTGGGGTCCCCAGTGCCTGGAGCAGGGACTGGGGCCAGGGCTCACAGCTCACAGCACCCATTGCACCCCCAGCACCCATAGAGCCCACAGCACCCATAGCATGCATTGCACCCATACCACCCCCCCACCACTGCCAGCAACCACAACAGCTCCAGTGCACCCAGTCATCCTAGCACCTAGAGAAACCCCAGCACCCACAGAACCCCCCAGCACCCTCAGCACTATATAGCTCCGGTATCAGGGTCCTAGTGCCCCCCCGCTGCCTCCCGCCAGGGTCCTAGCCCCCGCTGCCTCCTGCCTGGCCCCGGCAGGGTCCAGTGCCCGCCCCCTGGCAGGGACCGGTCCTAGTGCCCGCCCGCTGCCTCACGCATCAGGGTCCTAGTGCCCGCCCGCTGCCTCCTGCCTGGCAGGGACAGGTCCCCGGCCCCCCCAATAACTCCGTGCCGCAGAAAACACATGGACCCAGTCAGAGATCAATATGATCAGACAAAAGCCATTTTTTACAAAGCCGTAACTCCTTTTATAGTATTTCTTACATGCACTTACAGTGATTTGGCATATTATGATTGGATACATGTCTTGAAGACCCTTTGTAACTAACATATAATTGGTTAAGCACAGCTGTGAGAACTTGACCTCGAAAGCTTGCCAACAGTGCACAGTTCTCATTACCTCAGTGAATTCCAGCTGCTTCTTATCTTGCTTGTTCAGGCTTCCTCGGGCCTCTCATGGCCTTGCTGCATCTTTCAGGATTATTCAGAATTTA